AGATTCATACAAAGGAAAAGGAGCAGGGTCTGCATAAGAGCTATGAGCTTTGGTTTTTTTTTTTGTGAATTGATCCAAGTTACAGTAAAACCTTTGAAAAAAATGAAAAAAGGGCTTTGTGGCAAATGTGTGACTTTCTTCATTTGAACCTAAATTTGCCATGGTGACCATTGTCACTGGGACAGAAAGTGATGGCAAATCCTGACTTTTACATTTTCCATCCGAAAAAAGACATTTTCCAGTAGGCACTCCTGTTCTTTCGACATGTCTAAAGGAGGATTTTCTTTCACTTTGGAGAGATTTCTTTTCACTTCCCTCTGTGTCCCTAGGACAGGCAGTGAAGGGAAAACTCCCCAATTAGATGTAGGCTGGAAAAAAAAAAATTATTTTTCCATTTTATATCCAAAGCAAAAAACACTGTATCGGTATAGGAAAACAGATGAGCATAATAAATACTCTTTGACAGCTTCCATTTATCGAATTAATGCAGTTTTGGTCTCCCCCCTGCCAAAAGTTTTAATGAGAGTAAAACAAAAATAATATATTTAGATATCGGAGGAAAATCCCAGACCAGCAAGCACGTTTCATGTCTGTGGAATCTCACAATCAACAATGCTCCTTGTTGAGGTCACACGCAGTCCAAGTTCGTTTGATTAATTTTTTGGATGTAATTTTCACTGGTCCTTTCCTTTTGTTTTCCCATTAGAGAGAAGTGCTGATGATGGAAGTTTAACCCGACCACCCATAAACTTATTGACTTAGTATCGGCTGTACACAAAGGTCCACCTACGGAGATAGAACCTTCATCCATGTCACCAGTCATAGGCATTGCATTGTACTCAGTTGTGCTGCAATGGGAGATGGTTTATGGGCGCGTTGCAGCTTTTTAACCCTCTTCCTGCTGACCTAATAACATTATCTGTGACTTTTTTTTTGCTAAAAAAGCAGATCTGTACAAGGTGTTCTTGGGAGAGTGCCTGGAGAAGCAGAGGACGGGGCCAAAACGAAATACAAATAAGGTCATTTAAAGGGAATGTTTACTTTAGTCATTTAGGTATTATTGTTCACACAATTACAGCCTGTCTCTAGCTTTTTTGTTTTTAACAAGGCCAACCCCCCCCCCCCCCCCCCCCCTGTAACAAAAAACAACTACTCACAATCTCTATGCTGTGGAGCTGCCTGCCTGTGTCCTCCTCTGTTCATCATTGCCTGCCTCTTCCAGGCCAAATGACACAAATTAGCGCCTTTCTCTGTAGCATTTAGAACCACCCACCACCAGTAAAGGAGTGAAGAAGAGGAGGAACTTGTACATCAGATGATTTGAAAAAAGACAGCTGAAGAGTGGAAGAGAGGGACACCAAGTTAAATTTAGGACCATGCACCATCACAGGAGGAGTGAAGAAGAGGAACCTATATGTTACAGGGGACTCCACTCCAATGAGAGGGCCCAAGATGGAGGTGTCAGGCCTGGATTTTGGCTTTAAAGCACATTTCCTTCCTGTTTACAAAATTAAAAAGGAAGGAAGAAAAAGGGGAAGAAAAAAAAGGAGAGAAGGGCTATAAAATCTCTAGAGGAAAGGGAGTTGAGGGTGGTAGGAAGGGAAGGAGGCATGAAGGGAGAAAGAAAGAAAGAAAAGAAATAAGGATGGATAAGGTACACAGGGCACCATTAGAAATTTTGGGGCCTTATACAGCCTACCTAAGATGGCCTCTACCTTTGGGCATCCAGAAGAGAAGAAAGAAGTGGGGGGCTTAAAACGTAGCCTTTAGTGCAGTGGTCAGAAGTACATAAGGCAAAGAGTGAAAGGGGTCAGACATATGTAACATACAGAGTACAGGGCTCAGCAGTGGCAATGCACAGCATGCAGGTTAAGCTGCATGTAATGTACAATGTGCATGGGTCAGGGGTATGTAATGTACAGAGTGCAGGGGTTTGGTGTATGTAATGTACACAGTCCATGGTCAAAAATATATAATGTACATACTGAACAGTGATGTGTATGTAATTCACATTGTGCATGGATCAAGAGTATGTATTGCACAGAGTGCAGGTGTCAGAAGTATGTAATGTACAAAGTGCAGGAGCCAGGAATCTATAAAGTACAAAGTGCAGGGGTCATAAGAATATTTATCTGAGTACACAGCACAACCTATTTCACCATCATTTTATCACCACCCCATTTTGCAGAGGTACCACCTCTGCATGTGCACTGTACACAAATACTTTACCCCCCCCCCCCCCCCCCACCCACTTCACACCCCTACCCATGTTTTCCCCCTTTTACTTTTCTACTTTGTTATCCACAAAAAACATACTCATATACCTGTACCTAGTGAATCCAGCCCAAAAAATATAAAATAGTCCCTTCCTTGCCCCCACCTCCCCACTGAACTGACGAGGAATAGGAAACTTTTCTTTTATAGTTTGGAGCTGCAAAATTACTCCACTTGTGCCCAAATTTAATAAAAAAGTCCCCTCTCTGCCCTGGTGGGCCCGCTGCTAAACTGATGGGGCTCAGGCTCAGTACACGAGGGTAGGCTCTTCCTCCTATTGGTGGCCCTGGGTGTGCACATCACCATGGGTGAACTACATGCCATCCAACAAAGTTTTTTTGTTTACTTGAATGACATGTGAGTTAGCATCCCCTCATGGTCACTTCACTAAGTCTCACACCAAAAGAACCTCATCTACCCATCCACCAGTGACATCTGTCTCGGCCTTGCCCTCAGAGAAATTTTGAGGGAAATAAAGCCAAGCACTGATTATTCTCAACCAGCCTTTTTACACACAGTTTACTGTGCTTGCTCCAGGTCAAAGGCGCAGGAAGCCTCCACAGCCCAGCAATGCCCACACATTCGTGGTCCAGGCTCAGTTCCTGGACTGAGGAGGGCAGATCATCAATGAATAAATCCACCCCTCCAACAGTACATCCGTCAATGGTCCCCATTCTCCCTTTCCCGAACTAGCTGCTCGTCTTTCTGTTGCAGATATTATAGTTTTCAACTCACTTGACTAACACCATAGTTATACACTCCATTCCTCGCTAGCATTTGTAGAAGCACACACTTGATTCTTTAGTGTAGTGACCAAACCAAGCATTGAATAAACAGAACTCATTTACTGAAGTTGTCATTTGTGCACTTGTGAACAGGTCTCAAACAGTTCAATAGTTTAACACTTGTCATTAATGTTATGTTACAAACTCCTTCTTCATCATACAATTACACACTCTTGTAGTGGTAATATAGGCAGAGGCTTTGGCTGTATCACTTCCCATGCAACTGGCTATTCCATTTCTCCTATTCCCATGCTTGGATCCCAGTGTCTGGGTAGATTCTCTCTGCTCTACCTCATTGCATATGTGACCTTCTTCCTGCCTCCCATGGGAAGAACCCTAAGGAACAACATCCTATCTCCTCTAATACCTTCCTAATCCCCTATGTACCCTCTAATGGGAAGTGACCCAACCTCAGGTTGATGTACCACCGTCCACAGTAAACTCCACATGACTGGAAATTAACCCATACAAAACCCACATAGCAAATATCGGAGGCCCTACCTACAACTGTGTTACATTTTAGTTTAGTTTACTAAACATAATACCGAGCACTATGCTGAGCATTTGAACTCCCTCGGTTTGAAGTCCCTAACTGTGCCTCAGGTTCATATAGATTTACAAAAACAGCCTGCAATCCTTCTTTCCTTCTAAGGACATTTTCTTATATAAAATGGAATTGTTGTCTTTGCACGGTTTCACTGGTGATTTATTGATGTGTGAGTTATATTTGGGTACAGTTGTAACTGTATGGTGGAAAAGATGTTCATGATGATGGAAAGCCTGATAAATGTCTGATAACACACAGATCCCTTCTCAGCTGTGGAAAAGATTCCCAGAGTACTGACCATATTACATTTTAAACAGGAGGGCTATTTCTATTCATTGAAAATTTTATGGAAATGAATATATATGGCATTATGAAATCTGAAGTCTATCAAAGAATTTTGGGGTGTAATGCAGGGCCCAGTGTCAGAAATTTGGGTCTCCGTCAGAGATCATGGGTCTTACAGCAGGACAATGACCCAAAGCACATGTCAAAAAGCACCCAGAAATGGTTTCAGACATACCGCTGGAGAGTACTGAACTGGCCAGCAATGAGTCCAGATCTCAATCCCATAGAGCACCTGTGCAGAGATCTCAAAACAGCAGTTGGGAAAAGGAACCCTTCCAATCTGAGAGACCTGGAGCAGTTGGCAAAAGAGGAGTGGTCCAAAATTCCAGTAGAGTGCTGTAAGAAACTCATTCATGGTTACAGAAAGCCATTGGTTTCAGTTATTTTTCCAAGGGGTGTGCTACCAAATATTAAATTGAGGGAGCCAATAATTGTGTCTAGTTCATTTTTGGGGTTTTGCTTGGAATGTGTCAGATTTGGCTTTTTTTTCTCTGTCTTTGTATGTCATACAAATACAAACAAAATAAATAAACATGAGAATGCCTAAACATTTGTAATTGCAACAATTTTCTGGGCGAAGTGGTGCATTATCCTTCAGAAATGCAGGGGGGACAATATTTTTGGGCATGACTATATATACTATATATATATATATATATATATAAAAATCTTTAAGAGAATTTAAACAGTTTAGTAGTTTATTCACACATATATAGGAATTTTATATACTGTATATGTGTATGTATATACAGTATATATATATATATATATTTTTTTTTTTTTTTTTTTTTTTTTAATATAAATATGTATAATGCAAATAAACTGCTAAACTGTTGAAATTCTCTTCAATCAAACCTATATCTGTACCCTTGCAGCATTTACTTATAACCTACTCTACACCCTTCTCCAATATCCTTTGCTCTTTATCTACTGTGCTCCAGGAAGCTCCCGGGGAGCATAGAAAATACCTGGCACTTGTTGGTATGGAGCAGCATATAACTCACTCTATGTTACCTTGTTGGGCCAATAAGTAACTTCAGTACTGACAGAAAGGTACATAAATGCTGTTGAGCAGGGGCGGACTGACAACTCATGGGGCCCCCGGGCAATAGGGGATCATGGGGCCCCTGTAACCTTGCCCAAACTCAAAGAAGTCTATGAAAAAGGTACCAGGGGCATCTCATGGGGCCCCCTACTGACCCCGGGCCCTCGGGCAGTGCCCGAGTTTCCAAATGGTCTTTCCGCACCTGCTGTTGAGGAGGGGGAGTTGAAGTGAACCTGTTTGCCTGTTGCCTCACACTGCATTGGTAAAACACAAGTTCAGTTCAAGTCTGAGGTCCTCAGATTGTATATTAAATGTGTATTGTTCTGCTTTTAGTTACATTTTTCTTTATCTATAAAAAAAAAAAATTGGGGATGTGGCCAAATACAATAAAACGAGTGAGTAGTGGGCTACCATAACTGGGAGGACATTACTCGTAGTATACAAGGTGTTTCACAGATGAGATCTTGACATGTTTACATCTCCTGAGTCCATCAGCGTAGGAGAACATTCATTTTAAAGGTGGATGAAACATGGTGTCGATAACTCTGGCTGTTCCCTAGGTTTCCCTTGAACAAGTTTGGCTGGATGGACATCTTGGCAATACAGAATCTCTTTGTTTTTTGGGTCTCAAATAAAACATATCCTATATACCATCATAAATTTATTCTGTATCAAAATGTAATTGTTTCTTTTAAGTTTTATATATTAAATGCAGCATAATCAAAAAATTATTTTCATATCCTAACTGCCTATTTTTTAATAAATACTGAATGCTCTTCTTTCATATTATGCTACTTTGTCCTTCAAAGTTGAGGACTTTGTACACATGTTAAACTAACTGTGCCCACCAAAGCCTAACCAAGAAACCAAGCTTCTAACGTTTTGGTTACTGCACATCATATCTTTATTGTCATGGCACACCATGAATCTTCATGTACCAACATATCCTGTACAAGGTAAAACAATAGTTCTAAATAAAAGTCTGACTACATCAGCCGGTTTGCTGCTGTTTAGGTTTTGGATGATTTACTTGCTACATCGTATACAAAATTCAAAATACTAACGACATACAAAGTCATTCACAAATATGCTCCCACTTACATCACTAACCTCATCCCAGAATATCACCCACACCATCCACCCTGCTCTTCCCAACACCTTCTGCTCTCTGTTTCCCTCAATATCTCCTCCCACGCCCACATCCAGGACTTCTCCAGAGCCTCTATCATACTATGGAACTCTCTACCCCAATCTGTCTATTTCCTGCTCTGTCCACCTTTAGGTAATCTCTTGAAACTCATCTCTTCAGGTAAGGCTAATTCACCGATAACCTAACAAGTGACCTTCTAATTTCTCCATTTATACAGTATAAATCCGGTATAAAAATAATAATAATACATAGCAAAAGTTATTACTATCCTATGAAACCTTTTTTTGTAAGGCAGTGAAATCAGTATATTTAGGTTCAGTCCTTAATAATTAAAGTTTAAAAGTGTATGTAAACCCTTAAACTATTTTCAGTATGTTTTAGCATCATGCATCGTATATAGTTTTCAACTGTAATTGTCTAACTCATTTTTTTTTCTTAATCTATTGGAAAGTTTCTTATCTGGAGATCCTGCCATTAACACCATTTCCTGTTTCAGGCTGACAATGTTAAGCCACTGCTTCACACTTAGCAGACTGCCGTGTGTGCTCCGTCAGTTGGCTATTATGCTAACAATCTGATAGACCTGAAAGTAGAGAACATACAGGTAGAGAAAGGGGTTTTGGAAGACATAGTTCTGAGGGCAATGCAATTCTGGTAATGTGTCACAGAGAGTAAAAAAAGGTGCTTCTCACTAAAAGAACAAAGTTAAAGAAAAAATTTAAGTTGACATGCTCTAGAGGAAGGAGGGAGTTTTGAGGTAAATTTGGGAAATTCATATGTATACTGAATACCTTAAAGCTGAACTCAAGAAAAAAAATCAAGTTTACTTTCCTTATCCCTTCCTCCCCAGCGCTCCTCTTCTCTTCAACGCTTCAACTCTCCAGGACTACTGGTCATCTGAGTGCCTACAACCGGTGAAGAAAAACAAATTTGGAGCACTGGTCATGCAGCTGGGTGAAAGCCTAAGGGAGTGAGGGATTACGCAAGTCAAATAACTTTTTAATGTTCCTCTAGACAAAAAGTAGCATTTAACCCTTTGCAGCTCCACTACAAGGAAAACTTTGCATTTTACACTGAGTTCAAATTTAAGACCTATAAAAAGAGGGTGGTGAGGCAGGCTGCAGAGAAAAGAATAGCATTCAGAAGAGTTTTTTTCAGGCTCTCTGGTCACTCTACATCCACAAATGCCTGTGTCATAAATATCAGATCATCTCCTGCTAACCCTTATACTGGGACATTGACATGACAAATGGGGCATTTATTATCTACTGTAACCTAAGCAGATATAGTAGCTTTGAATTCTGAGGTCTCTTTTTGTTTATATACCCCCTCAGTTTGTCTTAATCTGAGCTTTTAATGTAGTCAAAGTTAGCATTATTTCACCAAGTTCCAATATGTTTTTCTAGGCAGTGTTAAAAAAATCACTCTCAGCAAAAGGTTTAATCACCAGATTGCCATCAACAAAGCAATGCTGTGCATTGAGATGCCCAGGGCTGAAATTATACTCCTTGCCCCAACATCCACCAGGCCAACTGTCTTTTGATGCCCCCTTCTACTCCAGTTGGTTGACTAGCCTTGATATCACACCAGCTCAATGATTCAAGGTTGGGCTGGTGGAGTTCCCAACTTCAAATTCAGTAAGAGTAGGACAGGTGATGTGTTGTGGTTGCTCTAAAGCCCTTGTGGCCTAATCCCTGTAATAGCTAAATTTTGTTAAGTGAAAGATGGAGAGCTCCAATTTGTATGAATCAGTCCAAATATAATTTACGTTTGTCACAAAAAATGTAACCTTAAAATGACAGCCAACTCATTTCTGGGTATTGACAAAGCTCGCTCTTGGGGTAAAAATTGAACAAAAGAAGATTTTATATCATGTTTATCCTAATTCTACATAAACGTTCTGTTAAAATATATGCAGTATAGGTAATTTTGTCTATTGGAAATTATTGTACATTATCAAGAAAAGTTTATTATTTTGATTGAAAAAAATGCACAAACCATTAAAAAACAACAACAACGAGGACCCAGGCAGGTGCCAATAGCTGGAAGGGTGGTAGTCTGGAACCCATCTTTATTATACACGGAAGAGCTGTATGACAACCTTCACAGACACATAGATGGGATATGTTTTTAAGAGTCTGTAATATAATGTATAGGTGGCTTCATGCCTCCTTTGGTAGCCCTGATGTCCAAGGCCATGGCTATGTTGCCTATACATAAATCCAGCCTGGAGATGGCCGAGTACACTACAACTATGCCTAAACTAAACAAAGTAGGCCTGCTGAGTCAGGTGTGATATGGAGGAGAGGGCGGAAGGGTCTGGGTTCTCTGTATTAAAAAAAAAAGTCTACTTTTCACCTATGACTAGAGTGAACCTTAAAAAAAAATTCTCCCAACCTGTAAAAGTGTTCATACACATCATTACCAATGATGAAGACCACATCGTTGTATTGCTTATTTTAATCATCGTTACCTCATCTTTGATTGCAGCAGTTGTTGTGGTCAGATGTTCAAGGGAGAAGAGGTCAGAGTAATTGCACATTTAAAACTATTTATGTTTCCAAGTGTGTGAGACGCTCTGAAAAAGATGTCATTATATATCTAGTTAGGTTAACAGAGCAATGTTCTCTAAGCCTCTGGAGAGGCGGCTGAGCCGATAATCTGCAAATCATTAGTAGGAAAAGTAAAAGCGCGGCTCAAAAGAGAATCGATGATTGTGGATTTTACAACTTAATAGGCCATTGCGTTCAGTTCCTGTATGGAAAAAAATATCTAATGGCTCCCAAGAGGGGTATATAAAAAATTATGGCCTGAAATGGCATCCTCTATCCACACAATGACGGAGACAGTTTTTCTTGCCCTTAACCCTCTGTGTACTCAGCTACTTGTGCTTTTGTGATTCCAATCATTGCTATCAGAAGTATGTTTTTAGCAGTATTTATTATATGTACACTTTTGGCTAGCATTCTACAAAGGTCAGAATGCCCAATAAAATGTAAGTGGGCTATTGGGCTTGTATAGGAAGCCAAAAGAACAACTGAACTCTGAAAGCTGTGTCCAAAAAAGGGAAGCAGAAGCCAGAGGACCAGTTACCAAAATTGTCTGTGGTCGCCATGCAACTGATTGCCCCCCACTATTGATTTACTATGCCTTGCTCTGCACTTTGTCTCTGTGTGGAGGCTGTCATCTTGGTAGAGCCAGGGCTTTTGCTTCTTTATGTCAGAGCCTTCAGAAAGGGAAACAGTGAGCAACACAATAGTGACATCATCCAATCTCACTCCAAATCTCCTGGAAGTCAGAGGCAGCAGTGCCTTAGATCACAATCCGCAGGGTGCCTAGGCACCCTCACATACTAAGAAGTGCACTGCTAGATTTTTTGTAGATCATTTTTGGAGACAAAAAGTAATTTTTTTAGGATACTGCACAAATAACATATTTTCCCTATAACTTACAGTTGTGGCCAAAAATATTCAACCCCCAATGCTGTAAAGGGGTTTAGGGACTATAGTGTACATTTGGAATTGTATTCAGAATCAAATCCTACAAGGACGTTGTAACTACCCAAATGCAACTCAAGCATAATAAGCACCAATTAGGCAGCTTTAAAATGACTGTGATACTCAGCTCCTTCTAGACATTTACTGGTGTGGTTACAAACATGGTGAAGGCAAGAGAATGGTCAGGAAGACAAGAGAAGAGGTGATTTCTCTTTCACAGGAAGGGCAATGGCTATAAGAAGATTGCAAAGATGTTAAACATACCAAGAGACACCTTAGGAAGCATCATTCGCAAATTCAAGGCAAAGGGCACTGTTGAAACGCTACCTGGTCGTGGCAGAAAGAAGATGCTGACTTCGACTGCTGTGCGCTACCTGAAGCGTAGAGTGGAGAGAAGTCCCCGTGTGACTGCTGAGGAACTGAGAAAAGATTTGTCAGATGTGTGGTACAGAAGTTTCAGCCCAGACAATAAGACGCACAACTGCGTAATGAAGGCCTCCGTGCCAGAACTCCCAGGCGTACCCCCCTTGCTGTCTCCAAAGAATAAGAAGAGTCGACTG